GTGAATTATATTGCTGATAGGCTGGTAAAGTGAGTGGTCTGTGGAATTGTTGACTGGTGTCAGGCTGTTCCATGATCTTGGCCAGAGTGATGTTCCCGTTGATGGCAAATGAGTGAAGTTCTGGGAATTTAATTGCCAGAGGAGTGCCAGTCCAATTATCAGTCCAGAACATAGTTGTGTCCCCTACTCCTGGCTTGCATAGAGCATGCAGTTTGAAACATGGAAGCAATTTAATAACATATCTCCATCAGAAAGAACCCACAATTCTGTCACCTGGAAGATTGGTCTGATAGTAGTTCTCCCAAATGACGCTGACCCAAGGAATGTCTTCTTTATTAAGAAACTTATGGAGAAATTTCATCAAAAGTGCTGTGGGTAGAAATATCCAGTACTCCTAAACCACCATCTTCCTTAGGGTTGCAGACTTTTTCCCATGATATAAGAGCAGGTCCTTGGTCAAATGACCCATACTTTCTCCAGGAACAATGCTTAAGATATATGTTGATTTGTTTCACCACAGTTTTGGGCAGAGATAATGTGCACATGAAGAATGTGGGCATGCTGGTGCAAACAGATTTGACCAAGGTGAGCTTATCCCCAGTAGACAGCAAAGTGGAGCAACTAAGAAGTCTATTCTCAATCATTTTCATCATAGGCACATAATCCACAACATTTGGCTTTGATGTACCGAGTGGGAGGCCAAGATATGTGTGTGGCAAGGAACCAATTTTACACCCCAGGAGATCAAAAAGCATAAGCATTTTTTGTGGGTGTGTTTATAGATATAATGGTGGATTTGGAGTAATTGACATTGAGTCCTCCGTAGGATGCAAAATGGAGCAACATATTTTTGATGTGGGTGAGCTGTTGAGCATCTACATGGGCTACTAGAATAGTATCATCAACATACTGGATGATTGGATAATCAGGACAAGTATGATGGATCAATGGAGAGTCAATCAGAGTGTTGTGCATGGCCTCATTCATCATGGTTTGGAGCATATCTGCAGCTAGGACAAAAATCAGGGGGGAGAGGGGATCACCTTGTCTGACTCCTTTCTTACATTGGAATTGTTTCCCAGGTATTCCATTAAGAAGTATTGATGAGAACCCAATGCCATAAATCATGTTGATCCATTCAATCCATTTATCTCCAAAACCCTTTGCTCTCAAAATTTCCATAATTGTGTCATGATTGAGCATATCAAAAGCCTTCTCAAAATCAAGTTTCAAGAGCACAATTTCCTTCCTATATTGTTGGCATTGATGGATGTATTCATAAGTCCATGCTAGACAGTCTTGTATGTTGGGGAACGTAGTATTTAAAAAATTTGCCTACGATCACGCAAGATCTATCTAGGAGAAGCATAGCAACGAGCGGGGAGAATGTGTCCACGTACTCTCGTAGACCGAAAAGTGTAAGCGTTTAGTAACGCAGTTGATGTAGTCGAACGTCTTCACGATCAAACAGATCAAGTACCGAACGCATGGTACCTCCGCGATCTGCACACGTATAGCTCGGTGACGTCCCTCGAACTCTAGATCCAGCTGAGGCCGAGGAGAGTTTCGTCAGCACGACGGCGTGGTGACGGTGATGATGAAGTTACCAACGCAGGGCTTCGCCTAAGCACTCGACAATATGACCGAGGTGGAAATCTGTGGAGGGGGGCACCGCACACGGCTAAGAAATCAACTTGCGTGTCTATGGGGTGCCCCCTCCCCCGTATATAAAGGAGTGGAGGAGGGGGCCGGCCGGCCTCATAGGGCGCGCCCCTAGGGGGGGAATCCTACTCCTAGTAGGAGTAGGTTCCCCCTTTCCTAGTCTAACTAGGAGGGGAAGGAAAGGGAAGAGGGGAAGAAGGAAAGGGGGGCCGACCCCCCTCCCCGATTCAGATTGGGCTTGGGGGGGGGGCTCCTCTTGGCCGCCTCCTCCTCGGCGGGGGAGAGGGGAGGAAGGAGGGTTCGAGGCTGCAGAAGGAAAGGGTCCCCTCGGCGCGCGCGGGCGCGCCGCGGGGGTGTGGGGGGAGGAGAGGGGGGAGCAGGGC